CACTCCCCCTCTGCACTAAATTAGGGTCCCTGTGTGATTCTCCTGCCATTTTATGCTTCCTCATGTCATAGCACTCAATATACTATGTTATAATTACTGTCTACCTTAGCTAGACTTGGACCTCAGGGCAGAGGCCATGTTTATTTACCCCCAGAGCCTAGTACAGTGCTGGGCATGTAGCATGTTGCCTGTTTGACAATGTGGTCTTCATCCACTCACTCCCCTGCATTTCACACCCCAGGCCCTGCCACCTCACTGAAGGACTTTCTGATCCCCAGACACATTGACATGGATCATATCTCTTTGCCTTTGTTCATACTGGTCTTTGTGGCTGGAGTACCTCAGCCTCCCACCCCCCACTTCACCTAACAAACTCCAACTTGTTGTATAAGCCTCAGCTCAAGTTTCATCCCTTCAGTGAAACCTATGCCTGAAAGGGACCATTAAAATAAAGATTTATTTAAGGCAGAGTAATTCTTAGCTCATTCATCATCATTAATGCTTTATTATACTAACTCCAATATCTAGCAGCCTTCATCACCCTAACAGCCAGACTGCCCCTCATTTGGGCTCTCCAGACTCCTTGTAGCACCTCCATTATAACACTTTCTCAAGGCTTTGGGTGATTATTTTGTTTGTTTGTTTGTTTGTTTTAATTTAGTTTTTTTTGTTTGTTTTCTTTTTGTTTGTTTGTTTGTTTGTTTTCCTGGAGAAGGTAGGATGACATAGTGTGACCTTAACCCTCTACCCATGGCTACTTGTAAGGGGACCTTGGCTCATTTCTTCAATTAAAATGAGACATAAATTCCAGCCCTTCCTCCACCCTTTGTCTTCTCCCTGCCAGTGTGCCCATTTATTACTGAGAAGCATCCTTTTTCCAATTAGCATTTGATTGGAAACAGCTCCATTGCTGCTGGGCTGCTTTCAGTGCCTGCTGGTGATAGGCAGCCTGGTCATGTGGAAGGAACACTGGCTCAGTAGTCAGAAGTCTCCAGTGCTAGCCTCTACTCAAGTGTGTGAATGTGAGCAACTTCCTTTACTTCCCCGGTCCTGTTTCCTCCTCTTTTGAACAATGAGGGGTTTGAATTTCATGCTTTGCTACTTAAGGTATGGTCTGTGGACCAGGAGCACGGAGCAGATCAGTGGGTAACTTGTTAGAAATGCAGAACCTGGAGCCCACCTCAAACCTCATAAACCAGTATCTGCATTTGAACAAGATCCTCAGATGATTCTATCTACAATAAAGTTAAAAGAGCGCTGTGCACTTCCCAGATTAAAGAATCACTGAGGCTCTTGCTAAACATAAAATTTCCCTGGCCACTGTACTGGAGATTTTAATGAAGTGGGACTGGGATGGAGTCCCAGAACTTGTATTTGTAACAAGTATCCGAAGTGATACACATCCCTGGAGAAGTTTGTGACACATTAGACAAGTGGTTTATAAGGACCCTTTCATCTTTGACACTCTGCAATTCTGTATGCCACTGGCTCATTACTGGGCATAGTAAATAGTAGTACATAATGCAGACTTCCTTGACATAATTCTCTAAATTGGGAAAAGTAGTTTCAGATTTATTTTAGGACATGCATGCAGGGGGTAAGGGAAGAGAGATTACAACAATTTAAGCCAAATCTTCTTGATTGGAGAAAATCAACATCCTCCAGAATTCAAAGAGAGATTATCTGTTTACTCAAGACTATCTCCTTCGGGCCGGCTGAGTGGCGTGATGGTTAAGAACTCGCTTGGGATGCCAGAGGGCCCCGGTTTGGATCCCACATATGAGGGCCAGTGACACTGCCCTCTGCAGCTGAGATGCTGAACAACAGCTCAACCTGGAGCTGGGCTGCCATGAGTCGCCTGCGACGGCGTGGGCTGCAGTCCCTGTGGCAGTGGATTGCCATGGGCTACCGTGTGTGGCCAGCAGCCAGCGTGAGTGGCCAGCAGCCGCAGTGAG